AGAACAATTGTTTTCATGGTGCCCTTGCTGAACGCATGCAGAAAAACTTATGTCTGCACCATGGTGTGAACGAGCCCTTTATAGATAGGAGTAAAAAAAAACTCACCCTTGTGAATTTTTTTCTGTCCATATTTTCATCACAAGATTTTTGAACTCCTTTCCAGTTCCAAAGACACAACAGAGATAAGAGGAAATTGCTCCAAAATGAGGGAAATTCCTTCTTAGACAGATGTCACCAGGTATCCCCACTGAAAAGATTTCCCTCACTCCCTGTGCCTGTGATAACACTAACATTTTAGATATTCTAATACATTCTGTACCCCAATGCACAAATTGGATTTTAACATTTCTGCTCCCCCCAATTCAACCTAAGCCAACCACTTTACGGTACAACCCATTTAACCTTGTTATTCCTATTTTTAAGTTGTTATAAAAAATGGACCTCTTCATGTAAGACTAGACAGAGTCCAGCTAAGTCATTACATGTAGTAGCACATACTCTCATCAGTCTAACAAGGAAGCAGACATTGGGATAGATTTACTAAAACTGGTGCACTCAGAATCTGGTACAGCTGTACATAATAGTCAATCAGCTTCTAACTTCAGCTTGTTCAATGAAGCTTTGGCAATAAACTTGGAAGCGGATTGGTTTCTATCCAGAGTTGCACCAGATTTTGCACTCTCCAGTTTTAGTAAATAACCCCCAGTGTCTCACAGCTCAGTACAATGTTTACAACAATGTGAAAACTATACCACTTCAAAGGTTTTCATGTACTCATATTGTAAAATTTATCTATTTTAAGATGCCTGAAATGAAAAAAAATTGTTTTAATGCTTCCTCACTCAAAACAAAAAAAAACAAAGAATTAGCTTTACATACTCTTTCATACAATAATAAACACCTGTTCAAGCACAATCAAAACTGAATTTGTGTTCTGCCCATGCATGGTAAAGTAACTATACTTTACTAGAACCCCCCGGCCCCCACGGCTACACAGAAACAAAGAGAAATAGTCCTGTGCAAGCTTCAAGTTGTGACCATGGGAGATTGCTGTGAGTCTGAGCAGGAACTCATTACGCAGCATCACTGTTTCCCATATAGCTGGATGTAACAAGAAAATCATATCACTTCTCTTCGTGAACACAGTGACAGAAAAGTAAAAAGCAAATTGTGGGGGTCAGGATTAACCACTTGCCCTCCCTTCCTGACTAGATGATTTATTGCAATACGGCACTGAGTTATTTTAACTGACAATTGCGCGGTCATGCAAAGCTGCACCCAAATTAAATTTACAAATTTTTTTCCCCACAAATGGAGCTTTCTTTTGGTGGTATTTGATCACCTCTTCGGTTTTTATTTTTTGCGTTATAAACACAAAAAGACAATTTTGGAGAAAAAAAACAATATTTTTGACTTTTTGCTATTAAACATGTCCAGTAAAAAAATTTAAAAATCAAATTTCGTCATAAATTTAAGCCAAAATATATTCTGTGTCGTCTTTGCTAAAAAAAAAAAAACCCCCATACATGTAAATTATGTGAAAGTTATAGCGTTTACAAATGGCGGTATATATACTGGATTTTTTTTTACTAGTTATGGCGGCGATCAGCAACTTATAACGGGACTGCGGCAGGCATTATAACACTGGTAGGAACTGACTTGGTGTCGCTGACATCCCCAGTGACACCAGTACAGTGATCAGTGCTAATAAAAAGCATTGACACTGTACTAATGGCACTGGGCAGGAAGGGGTTAACACTGTGCTGTGTTCTGTTTCACATTATGTGTGTTGTGTGTGTGCTTCACTGTAAGCACACTGCTTTGTATGGCTCTGGTATACAGAGCCATACAAAGCAGTGTGCTGGAGCTGACAGGGGAGAGATCTGTATTGTTTACATTCAGGTATCCCTCAGCGGAGATACTCGGGCAATCACCGGAAAAAAAAAAAAAAAAAATCCTAGTACGTGTAAATTAATTGGTTTACGTGAAAGTTACAGTGTCTACAAAATTGCAGTATATATACTGGATTTTTTTTTTTTCATACTAGTAATGGCGGCGATCAGCAACTTCTAGCAGGACTGAGGCAGGCATTCTGACACTGGGGGAGAGCTGACTAAATGTCACTGACATCCCCAGTGACACTAATACAGTAATTAGTGTTAATGAAAAGCTCTGACACTGTACTAACAATGAGCAGGAAGGGGTTAACATATGTGGCGATCAAAGGGTTAACAGTGTGCTGTGTGTGTTTTACCTGCTATGCAGAGCAATACAAAACAGCGTGCTAGAGCTGACATGGGACAGATCTGTATTGTTTACATAGAGACCTCTCCCCTGTCAGTGATACTCGGCGATCGCCAGGTGTCGGCAGGGAATCACGGGCCGGGACCTGGTGATCGACAGCTGAAGCCACCAAGGGCAGCGCGGGTAGGGCATGCAAGCACCCCCTACCAGGAAATGTAAAATCACATATATACATGTGATTTTGCAAAGCCATGCCGCCCTATAACAGTATTTCTGCTACAGGGTGGAGGGCAAGTGGTTAAAAAGCATCTGCTACCTTGCTCTCTATGGCCTAAAGTACAAGATCACTTTGACCACTTCTTGGCCGCTTTTAGCCGAATGACGGCAACAGCGCAGTTGTCCAGTTCTGGGAGGGTCTCATATGACGTCCTTTGCACACAACTGTTCACATGACATGGTAAAGGGCCAATTACAACAGCCTTTTACCACGTGATCAGCTGTGTCCAACAGCTGATCACCATGTAAATACACTTGCCGATAATCGACAGTAATTTCCTCACACTGTCACAGCGTGGGGAAAGTACTACCGATAACTGGCAACTGTGAAAGGAGACATCTACACTGATAATCAGGGCAGCCCAAAAAGTGCCCGTCAGTGCTGCCATTCAGTGCCCATCAGTGCAGCTTCATCAACGCACATCAGTGAAGCAGAAAAATTACCCGTTTGCAAAATTTTATAATAGACATAAAGAAAAACTTTTTTCTTCAAAATTTTTGGTCTTTTTTTTGTTTATAGTGCAAAAAAATAAAACACCCAGAGGTGATTAAATATCACCAAAAGAAAGCTCTATTTGTGTGAAAAAAATTTATAAAAATTTCATATGGGTACAGTTTTGTATGACCATACAATTGTTATTCAAAGTGTGACAGCACTGAAAGCTGGAAATTGGCCTGGACAGGAAGGGGGTAAGAGTGCCCAATAGGCAAGTGGTTAAACACTGCAATAATATAACTTGAAATATGAGCTCACCAGAAAGGCAAGATTCTTCCTTTTTAAATGTTGCCTGGTTGACCTGCCAATAGCAGCATACAAATTTAAATTAAGCTACGTCACCTGTGACATGCTACATGCAAACTGGAAATAAATGTTACAATTCCAGTTAAAAAACAAAAAAAACAAAAAAAAACACACTGAAAAACCCTGAAAAGACCAATAGTAAAAATATAAATATATACCTAACCCAGCCCAGAGATACCTAATCTCAGCCATTTTAAGTTGTGGATTTTGAAATCCAGTTCAGTCTTTGCCACCTGTATGACAACATTGTGAAAGAGTGAAGTTCTAAAGATTAGGAAGCCAGGAGATACCTTCATCCATTCCGGAGAGTGTTTCAGAGAGGCTGAATATGCATCCACAGCTGGCTTCCAAATCGCCAAAGCTTTAAGGTTTTTAAGACTAGCTGCACATAGGAGGCACCAACAAGTTTGCTTTACCATGCCCATAGTGTGCAGTGGAAGAAGTTATTTTTCTGCACTGAGTGCAATGCTTCAGTAGATTTGTATACTGTATTTTTCGCTCCATAAGATGCACTTTTTTCCCCCAAAAAAGGGGGCAAAATGTCAGTGCGTCTTATGGAGCGAATTTAAAGCGGCCGGTCCGGTATTTCTGCCGCCACCATGTCAGAATATCGGGCCGGTCACTCAGCTCTTCTCTCCTGCAGGACCTCACCTGTTCCTCGCTCCATCACTGCAGTCTTCCCACGGCGGCTTCTGTGACAGCCGAGGGCCCACTGCGCATGCGCAAGAAGCACTGCGCTTTGTGAATGGTCCGGTGTCTTCTGGGACACGACAGGTCCCAGAAGGCTCCGGGCCATTCACAAAGCGCAGCGCTTCTCACGCATGCGCAGTGGGCACTCGGCTGTCACAGAAGCCGCCGGGGGAAGAAGGAGGGACAACTCCGCGGAAGTGGGAGCGGGTACCTGTCAAATTCAGGTACCCGTTCCCCCTCCCTCCCTAAAGGTCCGCAGTCTCTGGCCATCCCCTGTGCGGTGTCCGCAGTCTCTGGCCATCCCCCTGTGCGGTGTCCGCAGTCTCTGGCCATCCCCTGTGCGGTGTCCGCAGTCTCTGGCCATCCCCTGTGCGGTGTCCGCAGTCTCTGGCCATCCCCTGTGCGGTGTCCGCAGTCTCTGGCCATCCCCTGTGCGGTGTCCGCAGTCTCTGGCCATCCCCTGTGCGGTGTCCGCAGTCTCTGGCCATCCCCTGTGCGGTGTCCGCAGTCTCTGGCCATCCCCTGTGCGGTGTCCGCAGTCTCTGGCCATCCCCTGTGCGGTGTCCGCAGTCTCTGGCCATCCCCTGTGCGGTGTCCGCAGTCTCTGGCCATCCCCTGTGCGGTGTCCGCAGTCTCTGGCCATCCCCTGTGCGGTGTCCGCAGTCTCTGGCCATCCCCTGTGCGGTGTCCGCAGTCTCTGGCCATCCCCTGTGCGGTGTCCGCAGTCTCTGGCCATCCCCTGTGCGGTGTCCGCAGTCTCTGGCCATCCCCTGTGCGGTGTCCGCAGTCTCTGGCCATCCCCTGTGCGGTGTCCGCAGTCTCTGGCCATCCCCTGTGCGGTGTCCGCAGTCTCTGGCCATCCCCTGTGCGGTGTCCGCAGTCTCTGGCCATCCCCTGTGCGGTGTCCGCAGTCTCTGGCCATCCCCTGTGCGGTGTCCGCAGTCTCTGGCCATCCCCTGTGCGGTGTCCGCAGTCTCTGGCCATCCCCTGTGCGGTGTCCGCAGTCTCTGGCCATCCCCTGTGCGGTGTCCGCAGTCTCTGGCCATCCCTGTACTGTGTCCGCAGTCTCTGGTCATCCCCTGTACTGTGTCCGCAGTCTCTGGTCATCCCCTGTACTGTGTCTGTGTCCGCAGTCTCTGGTCATCCCCTGTACTGTGTCCGCAGTCTCTGGTCATCCCCTGTACTGTGTCCGCAGTCTCTGGTCATCCCCTGTACTGTGTCCGCAGTCTCTGGTCATCCCCTGTACTGTACTGTGTCCGCAGTCTCTGGTCATCTCCTGTACTGTGTCCGCAGTCTCTGGTCATCCCCTGTACTGTGTCTGCAGTCCATTGGTTCAGAATATTGTTTTTCTCCTCTAAAATCTAGGCGCGTCTTATGGTCAGGTGCGTCTTATGGAGCGAAAAATACGGTACATGCCAGGGTGTCTGCCTTTTAAATGGTTATCATAGAAATTATCTACAATGGTTAAACAGGACATTTTGCAAAACATGGAGCACTTGTTCTGGTCATCGTATAGCATTCGTAAAACAAGAACTTTATCAAGAGATCCTTATCCTGAGCACACAAATTTCAGACAGATACTCACTAGACATTAGGAGCTATGTAGTGGATCTTTGAACAGTTCTTGTCAGCTACAACCATTCCTTCTGTTGCTCTTGTGTCAGCACCAAGTATAACCCCATCCTAGATAAAACAGAAGATTCCAGAATGATTTTACAGGGGGATACAACATTTAGAAAGAATCAATATGTGCCACATATGTTGTAAAACTAAGCCTCCAATTTAAAGCAGAACTACGCTGTATACACTGTGAACAAATTAAAAGCTCCACTTAATTCATTTTAAATATTCAAAGCAAACTCCACCTTCCTTCCATGTTTCTGTGCTTTATTTTACTGAGAAATCACTTAGAAAAACACTCCTAGCATCTCTGGCCGTGGCCATCTTAAATAAGGGCAGATGATTCATGTAGCATTTACTTCCTGCAATCCATCTGCCCTTAGCTCAGGCATGCAGACTGGAAGGTGTGCCTAGTTGAGTAAACCCCTCCTACCTTCCTGAAAACTCCTAGGATATATGACAGCATATGCCAAGGCCTGGAAACCAGGAAACAACTAAAGAAATGTAAACAATTTAAAACACAAATATTATATACTTTCCTATTTACTAATGCTGGAAACATAAGGATTAAAAATAGTCAATGTTGATTGAAAAAGTGAGGTTCCACTTTAGTGGTTTCACGTTTTGTAAAAAAAAAAAAAAAAAAAAGAAAAAAAAAAAAGCACACCTTTTTGCACATTTAAAAAAAAAAATGTGCATTTGTTTTTCTCTTTCTTTTTCAACTGCAGCCTGTAAGGCACTTACCCCATGATCAGCAGATCACAACTGCAATGCTATGATCCTGCAGACTCTCAGTACACTGTCTGCCTGTACAGGCAGGCAGTTCCTGAATGACAGGAGGAATCAATGAACTACGAGAGCACTCAACGGCACCCTTGCAGTTTATTGAGGACTACAAGTTGTCAGTGGCAATGGCTGATGGCACTTGAAGTCTATTCATTATCAAGAAACTGTGAATGAATGACACAGCCATGTGGGCAGTAGCCCGCACAGCTGCACCATTTTCAAATTGTGACAGCGGGTGCATGAGGAAGATCCCTTGCACGCTGTCACAGATGAGAGCACTGGCAGAGGGAGGTGGGTGCATAGGAGCATGTTATGGGTGTAACAAGTCCTTTAAGACAAAAATATGTCAGCGTTTACGTTTGCAGTATAACACATTTTTATTCCACCATGAAACAGATGAAAACAATCTAGTCTGAACAGCTATATAAAATATTAGCTATACTCCAGAGTGAGCAGAGCCATGGATTGTATGTATGTTCTTATTAATCTGGTTTGCACAACATATTTCTGTAAATGTGTTACCATGTACAAAAAGCAATAAATCAAACATTCTCAGCAGCATACATGCTGGTAATCATACCTTGAATACAATTCCAGCAATCGTGGTGCCGGTTTTGCGAGCTGCGAGGAGCTTGTGTCCTTTCTGTAAGAACTCCTTTTCCAGAAGAGCATTTCTATGAAACAAACATTTAAATTAGTCACCTGCCTTGATATTTTGTAGATCTTCTGAGAAGAAATAAACATTTTAAAACGTAGTATGCATATATGGGTCTGGCTAGAGTTCCACTTGAATTAAAATACAAAAAAAAAAAAAAAGAGAGAGAAACACAGAAAAGGGATGACAGAAAAATACCAAGAGCTTGATCGAGTCTACCTTTTTATTTTTTTTTTTACCTCTGGTGGCTTTTTTTTCTTTACATTCTATATTAATTCTTAAAGACTGGCCTTACAGTATGCAATCTGATTGTACACTCTCCTTTAGATCTACCATTACGTAGTGCTTCCCAATTTAAAACTAATTGAATCAGTTGCTTAGGCTTGTTCTCATATTACACAGCTTTAGTAAGGCAGGCCATAGACGGGCCATTTATTGGCCGAATTTTCGGCCGATAAACGAGAAATCTGTCAGCCCCGTTACCGATGCTGCCATCCATGTCCATTTTGCAGCATAACCGATAAAAATAAATAAGGACAGCCACGAAAAACGGCTGATGGGCTAGCCCCACTAACGGCATGATTATCGGCCGATTTTTTTATGTGGATGAAAATTTGGCCGATTAACGACCCATCTATGGCCTGCATTAATCTAATGGAGACTGTACAGAGATTACACAGACTGTACAGTGTATGGCCAACTTAACTCTGGCCACTTTATCGCCCAAAACCTGTGTATAAAGGATTACTTGTGCTTTGAAAAGAGAAGCAATAGATTCTTTTATACAAGATGTTTAACCTCCCTGGCGGTATTCCCGAGTGTAGCTCGGGGTAACATTTCAGTACCAAAAGCGGTAACCCCGAGCTACACTCGGGAATACCATGCGGCGCTGCTCCAGCATGTGTTCTTCACTTACCTTACCCTGCGCTCCCACGATGTGTCCCCTGCAGCGTCCCCCGGCCATCTCCTCCGGCCGATGCCGGCATCCGGCTTCTGTGTCCTGTCCCTGTGACGTCGGGACGTACGGGCGCCGCCGCCGGCGGCGGGAAATTTAAAAATTTTAAAAAATGTCATTTTTTTTTTTTTTCATTTTACACAGTAAAACATTGCTGTTTCAACCTATTTCACATACATTTTGTCCCTAGTGCTTTGTCCTGCGCCCTGCCTGCATTTTGTCTGTTCTTTCTGCCTGGAAACTGAGAAATGTCCATGGCGTCCAAAAAGTGTCCCTTTAGGTCAAAAGCGGTTTTAGATCAGCTAGAGAACAGCGATAGTAAATCAGAACCACTTACAGAATTGAGTGATAATGATTCGTGGGGGAAATTCGTCATCAGAAACTGAAAACAATTTTGCGACTTTGCTCAGCGATGTGCGAACTTGGCGCTCTATTTCACATTTCAGTGTTTTTGGTTTGATTATATTATTGAATTAAATTTTTTATTATTTTTATATTATTTTTATGATTTTTATTAAATTATAATTTATGATTTTGTGTTTCAAATTTTATCATACCCGGGATGTTTACTAGACTCTTGTTTCGGACAGATTTCAGTGAGTTTTTCCTAAAAATTACAGCCTACAATAAAAAAAATACATATTTCCATGCAAAAAAAATGGTACCGCTTTCAGCACCAAAAATCTGAAATAATCATACCGCCAGGGAGGTTAATGCCCAAACAAACTTTCAGTTCATGCTAGTTCAACTAGTGTTTGTATCCTAAGGCCATACATAGTTAGTCTCTGAAAAAAAAAAAAAAAAAGAAAAAAAAAAAAAAAAAAAAAAAAAAAAAAAAAATAAAAAAAAAAAAATAAAAAAACAAAAAAAAAAAAAAAAAAAAAAAAAAAAAAAAAAAATAAAAAAAAAAAAACAAAAAAAAAAAAAAAAAAAAAAAAAAAAAAAAAAAAAAAAAAAAAAATGAAAAAAGACCAAAGTCCATCCAGTTCAACCATTAAAAAAAAAAAAAAGTTATAATCCTACACCCACAGTTGATCCAGAGGAAGGCAAAACCCCACCCCCAGCAAAGCATGATCCAATTTGCTCCTGCAGGGGTAAAAATTCCTTCCTGATCCCCCGAGAGGCAATCGGATATTCCCTAGATCAACTTTACCTATAAATGTTAGTATCCAGTTATAGTCTGTGTATACAAGAAACAATCCAGGCCTTTTTTAAAGCAATCCACTGAGCTGGCCAAAAACAACTCTTGAGGAAGTCTATTCCACATTTTCACAGCTGTCACTGTGAAGAAACCTTTCCATGTTTGGAGATTAAATTTCTTTTCCTCCAGATGTAGAGTCCCCCTTGTCCTCTGTGATGACCTCAGGGTGAATAGCTCTACACCGAGTTCAGTATATGAACCACTGATGTATTTATACATGTTGATCATATCCCCCCTTCATCTCCTCTTCTCAAGAGAGACTAAATTCAGATCAGTACATGATTGAGTGAAAAAAATTAACAGATTTTCCCATCCACAAATTAGATGTGAATGGGGGAATCACTCGGGAAAAACCTAACACAAGTTGATCGATAGATGTTGAACTGGCCAAATATCGATCCATGTATGGCCAGCTTAAACTATAGAGCTTTGGAACATGAGAAATCCTCAGTAATACAGTTTTTATTCAAAACCTAACTGAACCTTCAGATTAAATACACTAAATACATTCTATTTAAGTCTAGGTTCACACTTGAGCAGTGTGGGACACAGCATGTAATTCGCACAGGAATTGCACCACATTCCTTTGCAAATCCCATGCGATGTTTGTGCGGTGCAATTTGAGCCATACATTTTGAATGGTTAAAATCGCATCCACACCAAAAAGTCGCAGGGCCCTTTTTTTCTCCATACCCCTGCGATGCAAATTCTGGCAATCACACTGCGTTCTGTTAGCTGAGTCTGGGTACAGGAGCGTAAAACGAAGTGCGCTCCTGTGATTCTTAGGAGAAGTAAAGCCAAAAGAGCTTTGGCCCCAATTCTCCTTTAAGGAGTGACATATTATATCATAGACACAGCACATATGTGGATACAAAACATCCCTGACACAATCAGTTTCCTCTGATAAAAAAGATCTATTGTTGGTCTTTTTCATAGGAATGAGCAAGCACATCTTGGGGCTTCATTCACATGCATATTTAGGGGCAGACTAAGAACATCTGAGGGAGCATTAGCAGGGTGTATGTGATCAGATGTGGATGGGAAGCTCCATACAAAGCAATCAGAGGCTGAAAGTATTCACAGCCATTTACATGTATTCACAAATCACT